ACGAATTCCGGAATTCCGCTACGGAATCGATTCGATTATTCAGGAGGATCATTTCTACATGAAGTATAACTTGTGTAATTCCGGAAAAGCCGGAATGTGCACGAATTCCAGAATTCCGCTACGGAATGGAATAAGTCGCTCACCATGTTCATTTCTACATCAAGCATATCTTTCGTAATTCCGGAATTGGCAGGAATAGCATTAATCTGATGGAAGGAATTCCGGAATTGGCAGGAATCGAATTCGATCCGTTCCGGAAAAGGCAGGAATCGTATGCAAGGAATTCCGGAATTGGCAGGAATCGAATTCGATCCGTACCGGAAAAGGCAGGAATCGTATGCAAGGAATTCCGGAATTGAATGATGTTAAATTGGGTGGGTGCAGCTATTCCGGAATGTGTAACTTTTGGGAATAGGAAGCATTCTCCAACCACGGAAATTGTATTATATAACTGTTACAAATACAAAAATGTATTCAGTTAAATTTTTTATAATGATAACTGAAGTTGGATTAAACGTTCATTTGCTAGGTCAGGTAAACAATGAAAGTATTTTGTTGAATACTACGATTAGATAAACGGCGAAAATTCTTCAGTTGTCATCTCATCGCGACAAAAATAAAACTAATAAAACTTTAACATCATCCATATTTTTTTAACTGAAAGTTAAAAATTGTTTACATTATGCTTCAGGATATACTTCCAATATTGTTTCGTTATAGTGAATTTCACTTTTTTAACAATCATCGATTTATTTAAAAGACCGATATAATTCAGTATGGAATAGGTAATTTTTTTTGTTTTCACACTCATGCGAAGTGTCTTAGCTCGAATAATCTTGACATAATGGAGAAGCAGATTGCTTTTTGCATCCAAAAATGTTAATTAGTTTTAGCAATATCGTTATTCCTGTTGCTATAGATAGACAGTTTTTATTTTTTGCTTTATATTCACATTTCTTTTCTACCACAGTGAACTAAAGTAATTCATAATTTACAACGAATGATAAGATACTGAATTATATGAATATGACCTCGATCACATTACATACGCAAACGTTTATATAATGAACAAAAAGGCATCTTATTAATAACTTTACCAAACATACAAAATGCGTCATTCATTATTCATTTCTGTTACCGAAGGATGTCATTGCTTTAAGTTAGAAAAACAAAAATGATATATGTTAGTTTCACAAGAGAAAACATTACACTGGTTTAATTACAAAATGAAAGAGGATCATTTCATGACATATGTCAAAACTATACCTAGTGAAATCTAATATGATATTGAGTTGTTTGATACACTACTTCTTTTGAGCAGCCTCGAATAGTTTTTTCTGCTTCAGACGGTGATTTATAGTTTAATTATTTAAAAAATGTGCTTCTCTTCTTTATGATCTTTAAAAGAAAGACGACTCTACCGCATTTTTTTTCTTCTCATTAAAATATTCTAGCGGACTTCTAGTGAAAAGAAAAAGCTAGTTTTCTTCCTACGTCATGAGTTTTCTTTCATACCAAATATAGTAAAAAAAATATTCTGAAAATAACATCTTCACTCATTATACATAAAAGTATTTGTGAAGAACGCGCCGATGTCATCCACCAATAGCACAAGCATTTCTTTAGCAATTATTCAACTTCAAAGTGGTTCCTTTTATTCAAGCCTTATTTTAGGATTTATTCTATTGATCGGTGGTGTTTTAGGAAATATTCTTAACATCATAGTCTTCATTAAAACTGGAAACTACAAAAACAATGCATGTTCACTCTACATGTTTGTGCATACTTTTCTTGATCTCTACATTCTTCTTACTGGTTTCACCACTCGAATTCTTGCTACAGGTTTCCAAATAGATTTTACTTTAGTGAATCGAATTTGGTGTAAAACGCGCGCAAGTTTGGTCAATATTAGTATTCAAAGTACATATACTTTGATTTGCTTACAAGCTATTGATGCATTCATGTGTTCTTCTCCATCAGTTGTTATACGACAGAAGAGCAATATTCAAATTGCACGATACTTAATAATTGTTACTCTTTGTTTTTGGTCTATTCATGAGATACCTTACTTCATCTTTCAAGATCTTGTTATCGTAGGAGGTACCCCCATGTGCATCATGACCAATAAAATTTATGCCCAGTATCGCACCTATGTTGACACTCTTGGTATTATCACTATTACTCCAATTATTGTGATATCTATTTTTGGATTTCTCACTGTCCGACATATGAAAACTATCAGTATAACAAGATCACTTTCTACTCTTACAAGACAAACAATTAGTATGGCATTATTTCAAATTATTGCTTTATTGGTATTCAACAGTCCATTTGCAACTTGGGATATATACTTAATCATTACAACAAATGTAGTTAAAGATACTTATAGACGAGCAGTGGAACAGTTAATCACTTCATTTATTTCTACTTATGGCTATGGCCCATATGCAGTAAATTGTCTTTTTCTTACTTTCAAAACAGATATTTATTCTCCTCTTTTTTTAGAGTTCATTTTATTGCTATTGTTTGTCAAAAAGATTTCGAAATCAGTTGATTGTTTCTCTCAAAGAAGTCGTTGGTACCATACATATGAATCAAGTATTTCCAAGTACTCACCGAACTGGCACTCGTACTCAACTACAAACATACGTTAACAATTAAATATATTTGTTGTTCGTGTATCATTTGTCTTGTTCTAATTTGTTCTTCTGTTGTCTGTTTGTAAAAAGTTGTAAAATATCAATAAAATTATGTTGAAAAATAAAATATATGATGATTTAAAGAAGATTGTGATAATTGAGAACATTGTATTCAGTGGAAGTTCGACAAACTCAGTCAGATATTGAAGATACTTGTATCTATATTATAGTGGTTGTATGATATACTTAGTTCAGGTAATTAATTTGGAAAAGAAAATTAAAATAAGTCTTGTTGTTATAATTGAATCATTTGTATCGATAGCAGTAAATCATTAGAAGATCAGGAGTGTTAAAGTATAGAAATGTTATTACACAACTGCTATAAATACAAAAATATGTTCGGGTGTGAGTGAATTGTTGATGGAAGCGTGGGCGACTATTTAATATATCATCCACACCTACACAATTCCCCTAACCTGTAGCCACAGCCACATCCTTATGAGATTCTGGTGCAAGTGTCAACTTCATAGTTATGTAACCCGGGTAATCTGAATAATCATAGGAAACTATAGATTTTGGGTTCGAATGCTGACAAAAATTAGTATCTTTAGTAAGTATGATTTAAAAAGAATAAAGGGTAAAAATAGAGTATAATAGATTAGAAACTAATAACAGATTATAATGGATCAGTTGATAGTAATATATAAAAATCAATTAAATGACAGGAAATGTGGTTTCAATCTTGGCATTATGATCTACTTTTAATCAGGAAATAATCGATGACAATCTGATTTCTAATTATTTTTCAGGGATGGATTATAATCATAATAAAAGCAAACATTAATTGAAAAATCATATATAAATCATACAACTTAATAGAACTTCTAACCAGGATAAAAATTGAACTATCACAATTAAACTAATTTATAAGTCAAAACGAATGATTAGACACTGAGTTTTGTGATTATAAACTGCATTAAATTGTATACGTAAATGTTCATACAACGGACAAGACAGCATTTTATTAATAATTTCATTAGACATACAAAATGCGTCATTCATTATTAATTTCTGCTATTAATTGATGTCGTCTCTTCGAGTTAGAAGGCAATAATGGCATATATAGTAAATGAACCACAGGAAAATTTATGCTCAGTTAATTAAAAAATGAAGGAAGATCACTTCAAGAAACATATCGTAATTACTAGTTATTCGATCTATTATACTTTTTAACTGTTTGATAGAATACGCTTTACTCCACGGTGTTAGAATACTGAATTTCATTTAAACATTTAGAATCTTAACATTCACTTGAATAAAGTACTTTTTGCGAGCAAAGCTGGACAATTTTTATTATTCCACATTACCATCTCTACTCTAATTATTTAAAAAAACTGATTCTATTATTTGTATGAAGATTATCTATAATCTTTAATAGAAAAACGAGTGCAGTGCGTTCGTTTTACCTTCTAAAATTAACTTAGTACAATTCTAATGAAAAGAAAGAGATAACTCTCTTCCTACGTAATGATCTTTCTTATCTAGTGGCCATAATAAAAAAAAGAAAATCTTTTGACACTAGCATCTTCACTCATTACATAAAAGTATTTGCAAAGAAAGCGGCGATGTCATCCAACAATAATACAAGTAATACGTTAGCAATTCTTCAACTTCAAAGTGCTTTTCGGTATGCAAACCTTACTGTAGGCTTTATTCTATTGATCGGTGGTGTATTAGGAAATATTCTTAATATTATCGTCTTCATTAAAGGTGGAAACTACAAGAACAATGCATGTTCACTTTACATGTTTGTTCGTACGTTTCTTGATCTCTACGTTCTTCTTACTGGTCTAACCACGCGAATTCCTGCTACAGGTTTCCAAATAGATTTTAGTTTAATGAACCGAATTTGGTGCAAAACTCGCTTAGGTTTGACCGATATTAACATGACAAGTACATATACTTTGATTTGCTTACAAGCTATCGATGCTTTTATTTGTTCTTCTCCATCAGCTATTGTACGACAGAAGAGTAATATTCGAATAGCACGATATTTAGTAGTTGGTACTCTTTGTTTTTGGTCTATTCATGAGATACCCTACTTCATGTTTCAAGATCTTGTTATTTCAGGAGGTACCCCCGTGTGCACCGGAACAAATGCAATATTTAATCAGTATCGCAGCTATGTTACCTATCTGAGTTTTATCACTATTATTCCAGTCATAGTGGTCTCTATTTTTGGATATCTCACTGTTCGACATATGAAAACTATTGGTGTAACAAGATCACTTTCTTCTTTTACAAGACAAAAAATTAGTATGGCATTATTTCAAATATTTGCTTTAATAGCGTTCAATGGTCCATATGGATTTTGGGTATTTTACACAATTAGTACGGCTAATTTAGTAAAAGATACTTATAGGCGAGCAGTGGAACAGTCAATTAGTTCACTTGCTAATACATATAACTTTGGAACATATGCGGTAAATTTCTTGCATTTTACTTTCTAAACTCATTCTTGTTCTTCTCTTTGTTTTAGAGTTCAATTTGTTGCTATTGTATATCAAAAAGATTTCGAAAACAGTTGGTTGTTTCTCTCAAAGAACTCATTTGTGGTATACATACGAATCAAGTATATCCAAATACTCAACGAACTGGCACTCGTACTCAACTACCGACACAAGTTGACAATTAAATATATTTGCTGTTCGTATATCATTTCTGTTGTTCGTATGGCATTTCTGTTGTTCGTATGTCATTTCTGTTGTTCTAGTTTGTTCTTCTGTTGTCTGTTCGTAAAAGGTTTTAGTATATCAATAAAAGTATCTTGAAAAATAAAATATATGATGGTTTAAAAATGACTATGATGAGTGAGATTATTGTATTATTTGAAAGCCTCACATATTTCAGAAACTGATACATTTATTATAGCGGTTGTGTGATATATTGAGTTACTATAATTCAATCATTTGTATCAATAGCAGTGAATTATTAAAAAATCAGTAGTGTTGAAATACAGAAATTATATTAGATAACTAAAGTTGAATTATATGTTTATTTATTAGGTCAAGCAAACTATGAAAGTATTGTGCTGAATATTACGATTGAATAAACGGTAGCAATTATTCATTTTTTATCTTATCACGCTATAGAAATAAAAAGTAAAAGAACTTTTAAGATCATCCATCTTTTCTTATATTGAAAGTTATAAATTGTTTGCATTTTATTTTATGATATACTTGCAACGTCGTTTCATAATATAGTGAAGTTCATTTTTTCAATAATTATTGATTTATTCAAAAAAAAAATAAGGTAAAACAATGAGATAAAGATTGCTATAATTCGATATAGAATACGTCATTTTTTATGGTCATATTCATTCGAAAAGTGTCCTAGTTCGAATGATGTTAACATAATGGATAAGCAGATCGTTTCTTGCATCCAAAAATGTTAATTAGTTTTAGCAATATCGCTATTCCTGTTGCTATAGATAAAGAGCTTTTATTTTTTGCTTTACATTCACATCTCTTTTTTACCAAAGTCAACTAAAGTAATTCATAATTTAAAACGAATAATAAGTTACTGACTTTTGTGAATATCATCTCGATTAAATTATAAACGTAATTGTTCATATAATGAACGATAAGAGCATCTTATTAATAGTTTTAGCAGACATACAAAATGCATCATTCATTATTAGTTTCTGATACTAATTGATCTCATCGCTTCGAGTTAGGAGACAAGAAGAATATGTATATGGATTTGACCAGAGGAAAATCTTAGCTGACTTAATTAAAAAATAAAAGAAGATCACTTCGAGACATATATCGAAATTACCGGTTATTAAATCTAACACCCTGTTTAGTCCTTTGATATAATACTTTTTTTGAGCAGATTCTCTGCAACTACTTTTCAACACTGTCATTTCTAATCAAATTATTTCAAATAAACTTGTATTCTTTGTAATCTTTAATAGAAAATCGATTGTAAGTTATTCTCTCTTTTTCATAAACATAATCCAGTGGATTTCTAGTGCAAAGAAAAAGCTAATTTTTTTCCTACGACATAATCGTTCTTATCCAGTGGCTATAATAAAAAAAGAAAATCTTTTGACACTAGCATCTTCACTCATTACATAAACGTTTTGAAGCAGAAGGAGACGATGTCATCCAACAATAGCACAAGCATTTCTTTAGCACTCTTTCAACTTCAAAGGGATTTTCGATATTCAAGTCTTATTTTAGGGTTTCTTCTACTGATCGGTGGTGTATTAGGACATATTCTTAATATCACAGTCTTCATTAAAGTTGAAAATTACAAGAACAATGCATGTTCACTTTACATGTTTGTTCGGACTTTTCATGATATTAACATACTTCTTGGTGGTCTAGCTACTCGAATTCTTGCTACTGGCTTTCACGTAGATTTTACTTTAGTGAATCGAATTTGGTGTAAAACTCGCTCAGGTTTTATCGATATTAATACCGAAACTATATATACTTTGATTTGCTTACAAGCTATTGATATATTTATTTGTTCTTCTCCATCAGTTGGTGTACGACAAAAGAGTAATATTCGAACAGCAGGATATTTAGTCATTGGTACTGTTTGTTTTTGTTGTATTCATGAGATACCCTACTTTATCTTTCAAGATCTTGTTATCGTAGGTGGTACCCCTATTTTTTTAGACACAGCCTAACAAACTCTATCCAATCATTAATGATTTGGTGCAAAACAAATGAAACATTCTCTTTCACTGAGAAAACAACTTTTTTGATGACATTTATGGATAATTACCGTTATCATAATTTAATTCAAGATTTTGCATTAGCTCTATATATATTAGGATACAAATATATTTATGAGTTTGTCAGCTCGAGATATTAATCTTATGCTATTCCTTTTTTAATTCTGTCTCCGACAAATGATCAGACTATGCATATCTAAATGCTCTTATAATAGATTACGAAGCATTTTAATAATAATTTCATCAGGCATGCAAAATGCGTCATTCATTATTAATTTCTGCTAATAATTCATATCATCCGTTTGAGTTACGACATCAAAAATGATATATGTCAGTTTCACAAGAGGACAATATTGCACTGGTTTAATTACAAAATGAAAGAGGATCGTTTTATAGCATATGTCAGAACTATACCTTGTGAAATCTAATATGGTATTCAATTGTTTAATATAAGACTTTTTGTAATCAGACTCGAATAGTTTTTCTTGCTCTACAGTCATTTGTAGTGTAATTATCCAAAAAATGTGCTTCTATTCTTTATGATCTTTAATAGAAAAACGACTCTACCGTATTTTTTTCTTCTCATTAAATTATTGGAGCGGACGTTTGATGAAAAGAAAAAGCTAGTTTTCATCCTACGCCAAAGATTTTCTTTTCTACTGGATATAATTAGAGATATAAACCGATCAGTTAAGCCGCCACCGGCAGTAAGCGAGAAAATTTTTAAAATTTCAAGATGCCGTCGCTGACGTGCGTCCGAGTAAAAATCAAATTTTTGTTCTTTTATATTGATCTTTATTTAACTTGTAATATTGTTAATGACTCTTTGCTGATCTTAATTCGATTTTTACATTTTGTGTTGTATATACACTATGAAAAAATGTTACAGTAGTTGTCTAAACTATTTTTGAATAAACTATGACTGAGGTATTGAAATAAAGATATTCTTCAATTTAGGAAAAAATTTTATTTTTATAAATTTTCCAATCGTCGTTGCTGATTAGTCAAAACTATCAAACCGCCACCGCTGACGAGTGAAAAGTTTAATATCTTCAAGCCGCCGCCGACAAACCAACTCATCGGCTTACATCTCTACATATAATAAAAAAAATGCACTGAAACTAACATCCTCACTCATTAGATAAAATTATTCGAGAAGAACGTGACGATGTCATCCAACAACAATACAAGCATGCCATTAGCAATCCTACAACTTCAAAGTGCTTTTCGATATTCAAGTCTTGTTTTAGGATTTATTCTATTGATCGGTGGTGTATTAGGTAATATTCTTAATATTATCGTCTTCATGAAACTTAGAAACTACAAGAACAATGCATGTTCACTTTATATGTTTGTTCGTACTTTTCTTGATATCAACATTCTTCTTATTGGTCTAACTACGCGAATTCTTACTACTGGCTTTCAAGTAGATTTTACTTTGATGAATCAAATTTGGTGTAAAACTCGCATAGGTTTCACCGATATTAATAGTGAATGTACATATACTTTGATTTGCTTACAAGCTATCGATGCTTTCATTTGTTCTTCTCCATCAGTTGGTGTACGACAGAAGAGTAATATTCGAACAGCAGGATATTTAGTCATTGGTACTGTTTGTTTCTGGTGTATTCATGAGATACCTTATTTCATCTTTCAAGATCTTGTTATTGTAGGTGGTACCCCCATGTGTATTGCAACAAATACAATTTATGCTCAGTATCACACTTATTTTGCCGCTCTTTGTGTTGTCACTACTATTCCTATCATAGTGATCTCTATTTTTCGATTTCTCACTGTTCGACGAATGAAAACTATCGGTGTAACAAGAACACTTTCTTCTCTCACAAAACAAACTATCAGCATGGCATTACTTCAAATATTTGCTGTATTAGTTTTCAATGGCCCAAATGCCGCTTCGTTAATTTACTCACTGATTACAACAAATGTAGTTAAAAATATTTATAGGCGAGCAGTGGAACAGCCAATTGCTTCATTTATTGCTACTTATTCCTATGGCCCATTTTCAGTAAGTTGTCTTTTCGTTATTTTCAAAACAAATATTTATTCTCCTCTTTATTTTAGAGTTCATTTTATTGTTATTGTTTATCAAAAAGATTTCGAAAACAATTGGTAGTTTCTATTAAAGAACTCATTTGTGGAATACGTACGAATCAAGTATTTCCAAATACTCAAAGAAATCGTACTCATACTTAACTACAGACATAAGCTGACAATTAATTATATTTGTTGTTCGTGTATCATTTCTTTTGTTCTAATTTATTCTTCTATTGTCTGTTTATAAAAAGTTTTAAAATATCAATAAAAGTATGTTGGAAAATAAGATATATAATGGTTTAAAAATGACTCTGATAAATAAGAATATTACATCTACTTGAAAAATTGATATATTCTGGAAACGGATACATTTATTATAGCGATTGTGTGACATGTTGATTTATCGTAATTCAATCATATATATCAGTAGAACTCTATAAGGAAAAAATTTGTAGTATTCAACTATGAAAATTATATTATATAACTTTTATAATGACAAAAAACTATTCAGTTAAATATTTGTAATGATAACTTCAGTTGGATTACATGTTTATTTATTAGGTCGAACAAATTATGAAAGCATTTCGTTGGATATTATGATTAGATAAATAGTGAAAATCCTTTACTTGGTATCTGATCTAAACGCGAAACAAAATGGAAATGAATTTTAAGATCACTCCACTTTTCTTGTATTGAAAATCATAAATTATTTGTGTTTTACTTTATGATATACTTGCAACGTTGATTCAAAATAGTGAAGTTCATTTTTCCAATAATCATTGATTTATTTCAAAGAATAAGGAGCAGCCATGAGATATAGATTGATATAATTAAGTATCGAATAGGTCATTTTTTATGCTCATACTCATCCGAAAAGTGTCTTAGTTCTGATGACGTTCACGCAATGAATAAACAGATTGTTTCTTGCGTCTAAACATACCAATTGGTGTTAGCAATAACCTTTTCCTGTCGGTATAGATAAAAAGTTTTTATTTTTTTTGATTTACATTCACATCACTTTTACCAGAATCAACTGAAATAATTCATAATTTAAAACAAATGTTAAGACACTGAATTTTATCAATATGACCTCGATTAAATTACATACGTAAGTGTTCATATAATCAACAAGAAAGCATCTTATTCATAATTTCTCTAGGCATAAAAAATGCGTTATTCATTATTAATTTGTGCTATTAGTTCATGTCAACGCTTCGAGTTAGGAGACAAGAACAATACATATATATATATGAGTTAAATCAAAAGAAAATCTAAGCTGACTTAATTAAATAATAAAAGAGGATCAATTGATGACACATGTCAAAATTACCACTTATTAAATCTAATATTCAATTCAGTTGTTTGATAGAATACTTTTTGATGCAATGTGTAATAAAATTGAATTTCATTTAAACATTCAAAATCTTAACATTAACTTGAATACACTACTTTTTGTGAACAAACTCGGATACTTTTTGTTATTTTACATTGTCATCTCTAATCAAATTATTCAAAAAATCTGTTTGTATTTTTTGTAAGATTCTCTATAATCTTTAATATAAAAACGAATGTAGTGCACTTTTTTTCTCATTAAATTAATTCACTGAGCTTCTAGTGAAAAGAAAAAGCTAGTTTTCTCCCTATGTCATGAGTTTCCTTTCCTATGAAATATAATAAAAAAGAAAATACTCTTAAACTAGCATCTTTATTGATTACATTAAAGTATTTGCAAAGAACGGGACGATGTCATCCAACAATAACACTAGCATTACGTTAGCAATTATTCAACTTCAAAGTGCTTTTCGATATCCAAGTCTTATTTTAGGCTTTACTCTATTGATCGGTGGTGTATTAGGTAATATTCTTAATATCATAGTCTTCATTAAAGCTGGAAATTACAAGAATAATGCATGTTCACTTTACATGTTTGTGCATACTTTTCTTGATCTCTGCATTCTTCTTACTGGTCTAACCACGCGAATTCTTGGTACAGGTTTCCAAATAGATTTTACTTTAGTGAATCGAATTTGGTGTAAAACTCGCATAGGTTTCACCGATATTAATAGTGAATGTACATATACTATGATTTGCTTACAAGCCATTGATGCTTTCATTTGTTGTTCTCCATCAGTTGTTATACGATAAAAGAGTAATATTCGAACAGCAGGATATTTAGTCATTGGTACTGTTTGTTTCTGGTGTATTCATGAGATACCCTACTTCACCTTTCAAGATCTTGTTGTTACAGGAGGTACCCCCATGTGTATCACAACAAATACAATTTATGCTCAGTATCACAGTTATTTTACCACTCTTTGTATTTTTACTACGATTCCTATCATAGTGATATCTTTTTTTGGATTTCTCACTGTTCGACATATGAAAACTATCGGTGTAACAAGAACACTTTCTTCTCTCACAAGACAAACAATCAGCATGGCGTTATTTCAAATATTTGCTGTATTAGTTTTCAATGGTCCATATGCAGCTTGGCAAATTTACACAGTGATTACAGCAAATATAATCAAAGATACTTATAGACGAGCAGTGGAGCAGTTAATTAATTTATTTATTGGTACTTATGGGTATGGCCCATATGCAGTAAATTGTCTTTTTCTTACTTTCAAAACAAATATTTATTCACCTCTCTATTTTAGAGTTCATTTTATTGTTATTGTTTATCAAAAAGATTTCGAAATCAGTTGATTGTTTCTCTCAAAGAGCTTGTTGGTACTATTCATATGAATCAAGTTTTTCCAAATACTCAGCGAAGTGGCACTCGTACTTAACTACAAGCATAAGTTGACAGTTAAATATATATGTTGTTCGTATAACATTTCTGATGTTCTAATTTGTTCTTCTGTTGTGTGTTCGTAAAATGTTGTAAAATATCAATAAAAGTATGTTGAAAAATAAGATTTATGATGGTTGAAAAATGACTGTGATAAGTAAGAATATGGTATTTACTGGAAAGAGTGGGTGGGCTATTTTTTTGTATTATACCTACATCAACACCCGTATGTAACCATCCTGACGTACATTCACATTCATATCCATTCACACCTACACCCACTCTCATTTTCGTTTTTATTTAAATATGCATTTGCGTTATACAAGTTTTCTACCATTGTATTTGCTCTATTCTTTTTTTTTATCTTACGTTTTATTTGAAAATAAGATAAAACATGAAGCAACGTTTGGTTGTTATTCTTTTTACCAAGAAAATATTACGTACTTCCCACTCAGATAAATGTTGGAAAAAAACGTTGTTCTTCCAACGTTATCTGACTGAGTTTTTATAGACAAGGACAATTGTATATTCTGTTGACATATGTGCGTGCGTTACGCTTTCGAAGTCAATAAAATGCAAGAGAGAAGAGGCGGCGATAAGAAAGTATACTCAACTGATGAGTAACATTTGTTTAGTATTTTTCAGTATTAAAAATTTCATCTAAAAAATATTTGAAAATAGATACAACGTTTTACTCAATTTTGCAAGAGTTATAACAAATAGTCGACAAATGAATAGCATCTTTAAAGATAATAATGTTATAAACGATAGGAATCACAATAATCCGTTGTTAACTAAACAACAAATTGGTAGGAACAAATTCTTCCATGATGGCTATGACGAAATAAGTCGAAGTACAAGTAAATATTATACGACTTCTATCGAACAATGAACACAAGCTAAGAGGAAGTAGACACGTAATCATTATAAAGTTATCTTTTTTTAAAATTCGGAGATAGTTGACATATATACGATAAATGAAATACATAATATTTGTCATAAGAATTACAGTTAGACAATTCCGGAGGTGCATCACTCCAACTCCAAATTTAACTCTAATTCCTAGTTGAAGTTGCCCATCTCTGACAAGAATCGAATCGTTCGTGTTCTGCTAATCATACAAACACACTAAAGTCACCATAGACAAACTGGTGTTTTTATTATATCACACTGATGCTGAAGATTTAAGAGAATATTCACTTGTTGTCTAGTTTTTCATGATTGAATCATAATTCGAATATAACCAACGTTTCCGATTATTCATTTTTTCGCTACCTGATATCGTAAATTAGTCCTCAACGTAAACGAATCATTTATAAAACAGCAATATTTATCATATTTTAGTTGACTCATCTGTAGTATCAAGCTCTTCTAATGGGAAATCAAAAGTTTGGAGTTTTTATCATTTGCGCAAAATGACATTTGTAACCATTGGTCAAGCTCGTAAGTATTATCAAGAAGGACAGATATCAATGGCAGTTGAGGCATATAAAACTACACTTGATTATTGTGCCGAGTTACAACGAAGAAACAAGAACTCGTCCGAAAATGTACATTGATCTATATCTAATGATAATTCTTATTATTTTAATATGAAAACTAATTTTAGAGAATCGAGCTTAATCGACAAATTTTAAACATGAAATTTGAATGTCGACAACAACTTAATCAAATAGTCAATGCAATTACAATGAATAACAAGTAAAATATTTTATCAAAATGAAAATTTGTAATAATTTCATTTCAGTTATGATCCACGAAATGATAATGAATTCCCTAAAATATCACATGATGATCAGTCTGAAACAGCACCTCAACGTAAGAGAATTATTTTCATTGAAATAATTGTATTGTTATCATTTATAGTTGCTATCCATCGACTGGTTAAAATGACCATCAATAAACCTAGTTGTAACATTGATTCTGATCCTATTCATGATATTTCACAAGAACAGAATGAACAACAATCACTCAGGTATGCTAACAGTTTATAGAATTTGAAATCGCATACGAATTCCAACAAAAGGAATGAGATAGTTGACCTATATACTAGATTGTAAAATATACTCTCAGAAGTAGATAGTAAACACATTAATACTAATAGTTTATATGCGTAAACATAATAAAAGAATATTTTTAAGCACAGTTGACCATTTCAACATTTTTAAGAAATGAAAAGAATTATCTTTTTGTTAATTATATCGATAAATAATTTTTTACATTGATAGTATTCATCATCGACCAACTCGTCAATGTGCTGTTCATATGGAAGACCAACCCTTCGATCAATTCGAAAAACGTTATAGTGAGCAATGTCAACATAAAGAACGTACTATTTGTGATATGTGTGTATATAGTAATGTGGAAGCTGCTCTGAAAGATATGCAGATTACGAGTTTGACATGTCCAGAACTCGGTTGTCAAGCAGTATTTGATTATAATGAAGTATGTGAAATACTTCTTAAGAATGACAACCAAGCATTATTTGAATTGTATGATCGTCAATTAACTCATCAACATCTTGAACAAATGTCGGAATTTATTTGGTGTCCTTATCCTGGATGTGGTTCAGGTCAATTAATTGAAAGAGACACATCAGATCGAAATCGAATTAGTTGTATAAAATGTAATCGAATGATATGCTCACATCATCGAATAAAATGGCATATAGATATGACATGTGAGGAGTATGATCAGTTAGAGGTAAAACCCGATGAAAAAACAAAACGCTGGTTAAATAAGTATTCAAAACAATGTCCTCAATGTAAATCACCAATCCAAAAAGCCGAAGGATGTGATCACATGACATGTAAAAAATGTAATCATCAGTTTTGTTGGGAATGTTTAGTAGATTATATTTTCATTCGTAGGGGAGGACTTGATCAACATAAACGAACATGTAGTCACTATCGGAACTCACGTCAAATGCGTCGCATGAATAGATTTCGAACAAATAGATGTACAATTTCATAAGCGAAGAGCAAAATTGAAGGACATTATTTTGAAATAAACTTCATCTATAACATTTTACTTTATTTATAAATCAAATCCAAGCGACATAAAGATTAAAAATACTCAACATTGATATTGTCTCAGAAAATCTTTTTATTTTCAAGAGATTTTGTCTTCTTCACAAGAGAGTGTTTATAAAATATATATCAGCTGATGAAATTGTTGACGACAGCCAAGGTGGGTAAGAATTTGTTGGAAATTTGTCTCGACTTTTCTCTTTATATCGCGATATTCGAAAATAAAAATAAAGATAAGAATCTTATTTTACAGACATAAACAAAAAGATATCTCATCATCGTTTCATTGTAACCACGCATGTTTCATAGCAAGCAAAAGGTAGAAAAATAAATTTGATAAGAGAACGCAAATATTATTATTATTCATGCGTCACCGCATTCTATATAAGTATAGTATATAATATAGAAGCTAGTAAACCAAAATAAAAAAAATGTTGAAGAATACAGTTAGATTATCAAAGATTGTTGGATTTAACAATAGTGAACAAAAGCGTTCTTTTTTAACAATTGTCAATCAAGGTTTTGAAGCATATCGAACGACACTAGGAAAAAATCCCAGTAAATTTTTTTTAATTTAATATAAAAGAAATTTTATATTGTTTATTTTAGTTCATCTCAAGCCAGGTTTAAGTTTATCACTGCCAGTCATACACCATGTTCAAAAAGTTGATATGCGTGAAGCTGGTATGGGTGTCGATAAAATTAGTGCATTTACGAAAGATAATGTTCCAGTTCAACTTTCCGCAGTTTTATTTTATCAAGTTAAAAATGCGTATAAAGCTTGTTTTGATGTAACAGATTATCGTTCATCTATATATTCTGTTGGAACATCATCACTTCGTTCGATTGTTGGACAATTTGAATATGATCAAATTATAGGTGATCGAAATAAATTAAATAAAGAATGGTTATCAGTTGTTGGTAATTCTATTGAACATTGGGGTGTACAAACTACAAAAGCCGAAATACAATCATTTGGACCATTAGATGCATCTGTAGCAAGAACATTAGAAAAACAAATGGATGCAGAACGTGATCGTCGACAACAAGAATTAAATACAAGAGCTAAAATCAATATAAGTGAAGGTGAAAAACAATCGATGATTCTTCATAGTGAAGGAAATCTTATTGCAGCTAAGAATTTAGCTGATGCTAATTTACTTACAATGCAAAAACAAGCTGAAGGACAGAAATATTTAATTGAACAGGAAACATTAGCACTTACAAAACAATTAGAAACAATTAGTCAACAATTAAATAATGATTATCCTTTGACTGTTCGATATTTATTAGCTAGACGAAGATTTGATGAATTACAAGCTATTGCTAATGGAAAAAATAATTCAACATATTTTATTAATAATCAGACTGAAGGCATAGATAGTTTAAAAATTTTTGCTGATATACAGAAACAAAATCCTGAAAATTGATTACATACATTTAGATTTCTTTTTTTTTTTGTTTTATGATAGAATAATTACACACAATCATATACAAAACTATTATTATTAATTGTAAACCTGAATACCGAATTTTCTTGTATCTTCTTTGTTTCTTTTTAGAATAATTTTATGATTTTTTGTCAATTTTTATATAGTTTATTCAGTCATATTTTATTATTACAATAAAAGTTGATTGTTTTTTGTAATTTACATGACATCAATTAATGTAAACGAGAAAAAGTAAAGTAGAATATCGGTACTCAGTGAAATATACTTCACCACTTACTTTTATTTTTTTATATTCTTTACAAGTGTTTTGATACTTCTATTGTTGTAAAGAAAGTGAGAAATTTTTTTATTTTGAAGATTTTCCATTTCATCTAACGTTGACCTATTTTCTTTTCTCGAGACAACCGGTGATGTATTATGTAAAAATTGAGCCTAAATTAAACAGAATTTTCTACTATTCTTAGTTTATTTCAAACGCGATGAGTAATGAATAGTTTACTTTAATGTACATTCACTATAAATTATCCAAAAGATTTATTTTCACATGATGTTATCTGTTCGATCAGTAACACGAGTACTTCTCCCTCGTTCATTATACTCTAGAAACGTTTTAAATAACTTGTTGGAAGAAATACCAGCATCTGAATATTAGTAAAATCATCATATTCATAAAGATCGTTTCCTTGCACTTATTTGTATTACTTTGACTCACACTTACTAGTAATTTGTTAGCATTCTTATTTTTCATAATTGTCATTTTCCTTTTTCTTTTCTTTTCTGATATTTGTATTTACCGATGTATAGCGTTTTTTTTCTTCCCTCTTTTCTTTGTTTATATCGCATTTGTTTGTTTCGATAGATACCTGTCTTCTACTGGCATATTAGTTATTAAAAATGGTAGAAACTAGTCCGAGAAACGGTGATACTATTTCATTTTTTTCCGTACAAAATATGATTGATGCAATTGAAAATATCTATTTTGTCTATATGATTGCGGGTTTTATATGTCTTACATCAATTTTACCTATTACTAAGTTATCTGTTGGAATTAGCTATTTTCATCAATGTCCGACACAACCACAATTACTTATTTGGCTAATTGTTTCTGGATGTCGTGGATTATTTTGTATTATATTAATATTTTCTATTGTAAGTTTTTTTTATATTAAATTTTTAGTCAATTCTAAAGTGGAGTTACTATAGGTTGGTATTGTCATTGCAACGGATCGTCATTGCAAAAAACCAATATCCAATCTGATGATTCTTAGTGGTTTATTGATTGTTGCCATATCTGCTTTCTCCAATTTTGGCTGGTCGATTGTGGTTAGTATACATAACTTATTTAATTGTTATAATATTAGTTCACTTTACAAGCAAATGAGTGTTTAAAATATCTTTCGTTATCTGATTTAATATATTTAATAAAGCAGACTATAGTCTCAATGTTCTTTTTTAATTATATTTAATATTAAAAAAATTTTCTATTCAAATAAAAATTTGAATTTTTTTATTAGGGCATCTTTTGGACTTTGTCGATAAAATCTACAGTTCAACATAAAGATTCAACTAACACTTCTACATATTGTCATTCAACACCGTATGTTTTTGTGATCCTCATGGCATTTTTTCAAACAATTATTATTATCACATTTCTCATTGTTGGCTGTTTTTATGGACGTCGAGAGTCACATGGACCAACTAACGCATCAAACAATCAAGCAATAAATGAACTTCATAAACAATATCGAAACTATATTATAATATTTTTTTTATCATTAGTTTTTTTTATATAAGTTAACGTCTTTCACAATATATATAATTTTACTACTATGAATCTATCGATAAAATCAATATTGTATTCTTAACAAGACTTTGACATGAACTCCTATCGTTATATTAAAATAAATCTGTACATATATTTAGTAAAATTTGCGTTAGGATGAAGACTATTGGACTAGTAGTGTGAAAACCTCTGTCATATATTTTATATTAAAAAAAAATAAAATTAAAAATTATGAATATCGTTTTATGTAATTTGTCTATAAATTAATTCCTCATAACGTATTTTTCTTTTTTACTTTCCTATGATACTTATATATTATTTGTGTTTTGCAAACACATGATACTGTAAATGTAAATTAGTTTTTATCGCAACTTAGGAGAAGTCAAACAAGAAACAACATCTCATAATGATGTTTATATATTCGACATATATTGTATGCTAAAAATATTACAAATAAATAGAATGTAACAAAAACTCGCTTCATATATATCATATTGCAAGATTACTTGAGTTTAAATATCTTGAATTATATTCTTAAAATGTGGTGGGCAAGAGCTTGGGTGAATGTGGCTGTTTTTTTTATATTATATCTACATCCACACCATTAATCACCCTTATTTTCACATGCTCTTACATATAGTAATTTTAAAATTTTTTATTATGACTTCAACCAAGTGAACGGTGAAAAACAGAACTTATAATATGATATTGATACTAAACAAAAGTTTCATTTATGACTTCTTTTAAAAATATCGTTTAGCATAAATCAATGATCTATTTTATTCTATTGTTTACGTCTATTTTTAGCCATCCAATCAACAGCAAAATCGACTAATAAATGTTGTTTTATGAATCTACTTTCAGCCAATCCAACATTTCCTATTTTAACATTTCCTTCAATTGATTCAAATGCATATCCAACATCATTAAAATCATTTGTACTATAATCAAAATCAAACCATTCTATCCATTGACGCATATTTGTTTCTGGATTTATTATTGATGCACTATCGAGAAAACGTTTTTCCGTATTATCATTGGTTTGATAACGATATTCTGCTAAATGTATTGATGAATTATTCTTATGTTGCACTCCTAATAATAAAATATAACCATCATCAGTACAATCATATAAACGAGCCAATGGAGATTGTTCACCACATGATTCATAATGATTACTAGTGATTAATTTTGCTTTTTTACCAAGAGCAATCACTGAATATTTTGGATGTTGACTACGTAAAACACCGGGCCAATGACGAAATGTTTCAGATAATTGGCCCATATGAAATGTTGGTGTTATATCAGATTGATAACCTGGCATCGTTTGACGAATAACATCAAACCATTCCGGTGGTACTGATGGATAAACCCAACGTTTAGGATCTGAATTATCAGAAGTATGAGATGGCATAATAAGAGTTCCATCAGGACCTAATAAATCCAATAATACTTGTATGACAGTCACAGAACCACCAGAAATCCAACCAATTTTCGATAAGGAACAATGAACTAATAAGGTCATGCCAGGTAAGATGCCTAATTTCTGAAAATCATCTTTTAATCGTTCAGCAGTTAAACATGTACCAAATTTTTCATGTGTTCTAGCAATTAATTCACGTTGTTTCTCACTCATTTTCGTAATGTGTTAAGTTGAATATTTTCTACAAAAGTATAAATTTAACAAAAAAAAAACAGAATTATCTAGTATGAAGAAATAATAATCTATTTAATATCTTTAAATTAAATTCTAATTCAGTCAAGACAATCTATATATATTTCAATTTTTATCAGCAAGTAATTACTCAAAATTGTTAGAACAAAACTAATGTGCCGAATTATTAGATATGTAAATGGATATACAATGAAAAGATTAGAGTAATTCAGACGTGCGTCATGTTCTATAAAAATATAATTAGGAATAGAACAACTAGTAGCGACTTACTGCGAGTTTCATTTATATTTCGTTACATTTGGGTGTAATCTCCAAAGAAAAATGCGTGTCTCTGTTTATCTATGCTCGCGCACGCGGTACAAGAACAAAAAATAACACAATAAGAACTCTCATTGAGTCATTCTTTTTCAATCTTACATTTATCTTTTCTTATCATATTTGCATTAACAAACAAATGCTTTCGTTATACAGCAATACTTTACCTTAAATTAGAATTTTTTTTGAATATTATGCTTGGTTTTTTATCAAGTTTTAAAGTCAATTTTAAATTACACGCGGTATTATGACTTTGTTTCAATGAATTTATAATAAAATCTTATTTGTTCAGTACAAAACATATACGGAAGCCAATTTTATTTTTTTATAAAAATAATACGAATAGACGTTCATAGTTAGTTTATATTACGACGGTTTTTTATTGGACGCTTGTTTCAAACGAAATTCAATATTATCAATAAGACATGAAGTTGAGTTTTTATGAAATGTGACACGAAGAGTGAAGAAACCTTTCTTTTCACTCATCAGTTTAAACTCCAGTTTTGCCGGTTTCCATTGTATGGTGCCATTATTCGATTTAATATCTGGAAAAAAAATAAACAAAGAATTATATCAATAAGATAGCGACATTGATCAGCATTAACTTACAAGGATTCTGCAATTGTCTTTTAAACGTTGTCTGACTGCCTGAAATCAGTACATCGGTCGAATTTTCGGCACACTCACTATCACTACCAAAATATGCTGAAATGGAGTAATTTGACGCATTATCATCAAGAAAGACTATAAATTCTTCAAGTGTGATATTTCGCTCCATTATACACATTTGCTCGTCTGCGTCTGCACATTTAAATGAACAGTTTCCTGTTACAGAATTTTCAGAATGTAAGGAAGCCTTTTTATGATAATATGTAATTGGTGCACCGTTTGTTTTTGACCATTCCGAAATAGTATTTTCTCGATGATTTGGCCAACACTACAATAAAAAGTGATCAAGAATATCATTAATGTTTTCGTAGCATAGTCAGTATTTACTTACATGTGTTTCTGCATCTCCATTTTTCATTATGTTATTATAATTAATCAACCAAGTGCCATTCGGCAAGATAACATTAGAAAAATGTAACTTTGAATCCGTTAAATCAATTCTCGAATCTGTTAGAACTGTTTCAGTAAAATGAGTCCAATCATACTTTGAATTATAAAAATCAGAATTTGTAAGAAAAGTATTCTTAGAAAATTCGACATTATTTAAATATGCATCACTAAAGTTTGCATAGATTAGACTTGAATTTTCAAATTTAGTATGTTCCATTGATACATTGCGAAAATCACAATAATTTAAAGACACTTGATCAAAGTGATGTTTTTGATCTATTTTAAATATTGAACCCACAAAACTAATATTTTGCATTTCCGAATGGTAAAACTGTGATTTACCGTTGAATGTGCAACCAATGAAAGATCCATTCGTTATATTAACATATATTAAAGACAATTTGTCAAAGCTCGAACGAATAAATTGTGCATAGTTTAAGTCAGAATCTTTCATTTGTGTTTCTTTTTTAAATACACAGTCAATAAACGATGCATTGATTAATTTAGTTTCATACATTGTTACTATATTTTCAAAAGTACAATCACTGAATGTCGCATTAGACACAATTGATCCAGTAAAATTAATTTTTCCAGTAAATCTACAATCAATAAATGTTGCATTCATTAAATTTAAAGATAGTAATGATAATGAATTGAACTGATATTGACCAGTAACTGGACTTTTGATTACAATATGTCGTAAATCAGCTCCAACTAATGATATAGTTGTATTTGGAGATGATTGATCAGGTAATAAATTATTTTCATGAAGAAATACAAATAATTGACTTCGTCGTTCACTATCAATTGATCGTAAAGTCAATAATGTCTTTCGACGAATATAAAGCATCTTTTTTTCGTTATCTTTAAACATTGAATAATTATATGGTTGTTTATAGAGAACAGTTGAAATATCTTCAATATATGTTGCATAAACTGTTTCATAATGTAGATCTTGTTGTTGTGCACGATCTTCATTACGATTTTCTTCAGCAATTTGACGATCTTGAATCTTAGTTTCATTTGCAATCACTAGATTAGCTAATGCTATTTCCCAATCTTTAATTTGTGTTAAATTTGCAATTTCAAGATCATGATAACGTGTAATATTAGCAATTATTTGATCTTGTATTCGTGTTAAATTAGCTATTTCAAGATCTTTATCATGTGTTGCATTTGCTAAACGTTCATCTTGTATACGATTACGTTCAGCTATTTCCGTTTGATGAATATAAGAAACAATGGTAAAAACTGCAATCATTAAAGTAACAGACGCTGATAAACTCAGTTTCACAAATGTTAACCAACGTTGCTTCTTTTTTGCAATAGTTTTAGTTGATTCTTGTAAAAACTCCTTTGATAGTTTAAAGGGAATTTTTTTTCGAAAATATCGAATACGTGGCATGTAAATTGAAATGCGATGAAAAAATTAACGATTAATGGAATATTCTCAATAGTGAAAGATAAGAAAATGATTGTTCGACATATAAAAAGAAAATCAATATGACGTATGAATCAGTATTTAGATAGTTTCATTCGATAATCTGATATTAAAAAGTCGTACTCATTAGAAATTCTGAAATCGATATTCTTCATTTTATATTCGTCAATATTTTGATATGAGTTGTATATTATAAAAACAATATTTTGTTTCTTTTTTCTCGAAAAACTTAGTCTCAGATTACAATTTAATAAGAGAGATTTTAACATGGTAAAATGTGTGTTCTTATGATCTTATCGTTGGTGAAATTCAGACATAGTTTTCATTTTTATTTTGTTATTTGTTTGATTGAATGATTCTAATAAGAAGGTATTAAAAAACGTATAGTTTATTACCTTATCTGTTTTACTGTTATCTTAGTTTTAGTTATCGAAAAAGATTAATGATAACGTTTTTCTTGAAGTGATTTGAGAGTAGACGGTATTTGCATGATTTATTAAAATATTTTATATAATCTATTCGCTCTTGAGATAAGATAGGAGATATATAGTATTCAATACCTATAAATGGTTTAATAAGTCTACTTTCTCTTCATTTGAAACCATCAATATTGTATCGACAATCAGGTTTGTATATAATTTGCGTCGATGCAATAGTTCCCTTCAGCAAAGTTATTAACAAACTTTTTAAAAGTATTTCGAAAACTAGTTTTCTTTTTGAATTCGAATTCCTTTTGCTATAGATGGACGATTTCACTAATATTTCTAGAGTTAATCATTGAGATATTTGATTAATATTATCAAGAAACAATTTTCAGTGTAGTATATGAAACAAAAAAAATTTCAACCTTTTCTAAAGATTATTCAAGGTAGTCCTATCATGAACTTGCACTTTAACACAAATCATAAATTTACATACATTAAATCGAAAAAAAACAATGAGAGCTAGAACATAATATTTGCATACTTTACTTGACAAAAAATATATATGCTTAACTTATCTGAGAGTCAATATCGTTACTAGTATATTCTTATAGTATAAGGTAAATGAGATATATTGTATGTTGAAGACTCAAGTGCTTGCATAAATATTTTTTCTTATTCGTATTAATTGAGTAAAGAAACAACAGCATTCTGTGACTTACGTACGATTTCTAATTCTTGAGGATGTGGGTGTTTCTTATATTATACCTACATCCACACACATATTGATTGATGATTAACTCTTTCAATTGTATTTTTTTTTCATAATTATAAAACTTTTTAGATAAACGGTATGCGTAATTCTATCACAGCTTTTGTCCTTGTCGGACTAGCAGTGAATATTTATGTTGGTGTTCAAGGAGTGCCATTGGCGAAAAGTGTTAGCCAGACAGAAACACGGCAAATTTTAGATATAAAACCTGTTGAAATACCTGATTTTATCAGTACTGACCCGGTTTATCGAATTGATTGCTCTCCAGATGAAGATGAATACCGAAGTTTCTGTCAACAAAATCTTGCGAAAAATCGTACTTCAAATATTACGTCTGCTTCATGTACTGCTCGTGGATGTATATATGATTCCAATGCAATATCAGGTACTCCTACATGTTACATTCCATTAGAAAAAGGTGGCTATGAACTGAAAGAAGGACCCAATCAAATATCAAATGCTATTACACAGTATAAACTTGCTCGTCTCCCAACCCCATCATCTAAATTTTCTATGTTTAATCATGATATTGAAAATTTAAAGGTACAAGTTAGTGTATCTGGTCCTGAAATGATTCGCATGACTATACGCGATGACAATGCAGAACGATACGAAGTACCTGTTCCTATCCAATGGTCACCATCAGTTCCACCTACATCTGCTCCACCTAAAATTCAATTTCAAATGACAAAAACTGTTAATGAACAAGTTGGATTTCGAGTCTATCGTACAGATACACAATCTATTCTATTTGATACAACATTTTTTGCTAATGGCTTTATCTATGATGATAACTTTCTTCAAATTGTAACAACTATCCCATCAAAAAATGCTTATGGTAAATTTTCATTGAATAGTTTCGTTTTCAATAGAAGAATAGTTTTCATTTTACATAGGTTTTGGTGAAAATGGTCATAATTCATTTCAACATATCTTAAAAGGGTCACAACGTTATGGAATTTTTGCAAGAGATCAATGGACATTAGGAGAAAATGAAAACTCATATGGTACTCATCCATTCTATATGGTTATTGAACCTAATGGACAAACTTTTGGTGTATGGATCTTCAATTCTAATGCTCAAGATTATAAATTCGATGAATTTGATGTTGATAAAGCGATGCTGACATATCGAACAATCGGTGGCATTTTGGACATATTCTTTTTTGCAGGATCAACACCCGAAATGGTCATTCGACAATATCAATCGGTGATTGGCAAACCATATTTTCCACCTTATTGGGCATTCGGATTTCAATTATGTCGATATGGTTATGATACACTCGATAATATGAAAGCAGCTATGCATCGAACACTTAATGCAAGTATTCCTATTGATGTTCAGTAAGTCTGAGAGAATTATTTAATAAATGAGTGTTTTTCTATTCTTTTTTAAAGCTATGGTGATATTGACTATTTTCATAATCGACTCGATTTTACTTTTGATCCAATTAATTTTAAAGATATACCTGAATATATTGATTGGTTACATGCTAATGGTATGAAATTTATTACAATGCTTGATCCAGCTATTGATACAGAAGCAAAAGATTATCCAGTTTACACAGAAGGACAAAAAGCGGATATTTGGATGAAATGGCCAGAACGTCGAAATTTGCAATTTCATGAAACAAACGACCGAAAAATTCTTGGTTATGTATGGCCAGATGGTAAATCAATACAAATGTTAAAATAACGAATTTAAAGTTTTCCATTTATTTTATTTTATTTAGGTAAAACAGCATTTCCTGACTTTTTCTATCCACCCACAAGTGATTGGTGGAGAACTCAAATTCTTGAGTATCATAATAAAATTAAATTTGATGGAATTTGGATTGATATGAAGTAAGATTACTTTCTTTTACTTGTTCATCATTCTATTTTGTCTATTGATAATCTTAGTGAACCAGCTAATTTTGATACAAATAAAGGAACACCATGGAATTATGTTTACAATCATAATGGAAATAATGTAACATGGAATCTTACATGTCCTATTGAAGATGAAATTTTAGAGAATCCACCATATAAAACAGCCATATGTGGTGATTATATTTCAGATAAAACTTTATGTATGATTGCTGAACTAACAGATGGTAAAGGAAAGATATATAATCATTATGATGTACATAATTTATATGGATGGTCCGAGACAGTAGCTACAGTACCAGTTTCTCGTGCTCTTGACAATAAACGATCAATTGTTATTAGTCGATCAACATTTGCAACATCAGGTTCTATTAGTGGTCATTGGTTAGGTGATAATACTGCCGATTGGAAACATCTCAAATATAATATTATTGGAATGTTAGAGATGAATTTATTTGGTATTCCTTATGTTGGTGCTGATATTTGTGGTTTCTTTGCAAATACAACCGAACAGATGTGTCAACGATGGATGCAATTAGGTTTGATTGATTCGTTTTTTTTTCAATAAGAAATAATCAATTAATGACTGTATAACAAAATTTTTGTTTTTAGGTGCGTTCAATCCTTTCTTTCGAAATCACAATGGCTACAAGTAAGATTTTTGTTTGTTTATAGAATATGTTTTATCTCAATCATTAAAATCAACGAGAGAAATCAGTTGTGACATTATGGCTACGAATGAAATTACTTAGAAAGTTTAGTCTTGCATAGCTTTAATACAAATCAGTAGTTTATGCATCGATTTCTTTTTTACTCTTTCTCTGACTGGGTAAAATTGCTGTTTCTGTTTCTTCCAAGATCTTGTTGTTTAGGTATGGAAATGATGGACCAAAGTTTATTGATCAAGATCCCGGAGTATTTCAAGAATCCGTGGTCACATCGAATCGTCATGCTGTTGAATTACGATACACTCTCATTCCATATTTATATACATTATTTCATCGAGTTCATGTTTCTGGTGGTACTGTTGTACGTTCGATGGCTCATGTATTTCCTACGATTGCTGAATGTTGGGCACTTGATGAACAATTTCTATGGGATTCATCGTTACTTATTGCTCCAGTTATTTACGAAAATCATGTCAATAAATCTGTCTATTTACCAACAACTGAACGATGGTTTGATTATTATACTGGTGAAGAAATAAAAACACTTGGTCAACTAACTGTACCAGCACCATTAGATTTTATTCCATTGTATTTACGTGGTGGTGCTATTATACCTCATCAACAATCAGCTATGAATACAGTCGCATCACGTAAGAAACCTTTATTTTTAATTGTAGTATTGGATAAGAATCAATATGCTGAAGGAAATTTATTTTTCGATGATGGAGAATCTATTGATACTTATGAAAGATCTGTTTATAATTATTTTATATTTAATTACAACTTACAACGTTTAACAATTGAACCATGGACATATAATTATCCACAAATGGGTAATGATATTAAATTAGAAGATATCACAATTTATGGTATGGATAAAGCACCCACGAAAGTTATGTGGAATGGACAAGATTTAGTAATGTCAACTCAATGGACATTTGACTCGACGAAGAATATCTTACGTATGACAAAACTCGAATTGAATGTGGCTAAAATACATAAATTCAATTTCGTTTAATTCTACTATTTCATACTATTGATCTTTTATAGACCAGAAAAAAACTATCAGACAATATCTATTCGTGCAAGTTTGCTTTTTATTTAGAAATGCTAATAAAAACTTGTTATTAAAATTCTTATTATGATTAGAAATTTAAAATTTCAGGATAAGTCCACAGTTGAGCTAGGAACTCTGAGAATCTATACTAAATTTCCAAGTTTGTTAGTACAATATTTTAACAATGATTTATTTTAATATCAGATTAGATCACAGTTGTCTTCAAAAACTCATCGGAACTATTCTAAATGAACAAATAAACAGTCATTACGATAATTCATGCTATAAGAGAATGAATAGTATTCATCAATTTCAAAACTAAAATAGATATCTCAACTAAAGTCTTCTTAATTTAACAGTGTCTATTGAGTTTGTTGAATCCAAGCATTATAAAATAAGATTATCACATCTTACTTATCAATATTCTCATGGAACTACAAAAATATTTAAATAAACATCTTTTTCTACTGTTTTTTTTTGATAATTATTCACATATTTTTGAATTTTGTTCTCAAAAAAAATCAATCGAAAAGAAAGGTGTGAGTGTGAGTAATGCTTTAATCTCTCACTCTCGTCCACATCTTCACACTATCAATTGTATCAATATAGATCGATACACTGAGATTAAGCAGGGATGGATATGATAAGCACACAAACAAACACTCACACACATGCTCATAATTTTATAGAATTTTTGATTGAGTGACATCTATTATGAATAGCAGTGAAGAGAAAAGCAGATCCATGTAGAAGAATTGTTTTTTCTACGTGGCACATTTGGATTGGATATTGACTGTGAGTCAGTTGGAAACGGATGATGCAAACGGGGTATCAAATCAAACTTACGCGGACGTGGAGAACGAAGAATTTTGTCGTTCTCTTACCATAGATAGCGACCAAAAGAGATTAGTTATTTAGTTTCTTCACTCAAGCTGTGTTTTTAGGCTGCAAACACTATATTATACGCTTTGACTTATGCGCATTTGTTCTTCAAATTCAAAAACAAAGCTGCAATTTTATGAGTCATATGTATATGACTCACAAACGTATGTATGACTCAAGAGAAGAATTCATGTTTTACTTACTTTTTACTATGAAATGAGTCTAAAAACGAACTCAGTTGCGTAATTACTTTCCATAATTTTAATAGAGTTTTTCGTTACAAAATACTTTCAGATAGATATGAATAAACAGGTGATTACACAAAAGGTGAGTAATTGGAAATGTGATGCATGTGATCGCGTACTGATGCATGGTGAATTTCGGTATAATTGCACAGTTTGTGACAACTATGACCGCTGCGAACAATGCGCTATGAGAGTTTACCCACCGCATCCTCATCGAATGATTCGTGAATTAGCATACGCACACGTAAAAAATATGGACATCACGGAACTGGATATGATAACGAGTATTCAAGCTGCGATGGCTTTGTACGAGGATCGTCATTGTATGGGTGTACGAGATACTGATCCAAACAATCCAGGGCAATACACAGATTCCTACACCTGGTTAACATTCAAAACAATAGGCGATCGATCAAAGAATTTTGGACACGGACTTCGACAGTTAATTGAACCTCGTGGTTATCTTGCTATCTGTGCAGCTAATCGACCCGAATGGGCGATAACTGATTTTGCATGCATGTTGCACAGCATTATCAGTGTCCCAATCTACTGTCTATTCAATGATCGTGATGTTGCTTATATCATCAACAATACAAAAATATCTGTCGTTGTTTGTGATAATGAGATGCTGCCAAAATTTACTCGACTATATTCACAATGTCCATCACTACGTCATATCGTTTGCATGGATCTAATTTCAAAGACAACTGTCGGTAAGTGCACAATGTTTCTATGGTGACATAGAAGTTGCATTGTAAGATCGCATCGAGGAAATAAATATTTCTCAACTTTTCTTTTCTCCTATAGAAAATGCTAACCTTTCGATTCATTATATGGCAGATATTGAAAGATATGGTACTATGAAATATTACGAGTCTGTCCCTATTGGACCAACTGATTGCCTCACAATCATCTACACGAGTGGAAGTTCAGGATTTCCAAAAGGTGTAATTATCAACAAAGATGCGTTTTGGAGTAACTTTCTACGTTGTTATTCGCTATCTTATTCTGAGTATGTCTCATTCGTATATGAACCATTGGCCTGGTTAAGTGGTCGAGAATCAGTCATTGCAGCATTTCTCCGTGGAGGACGCACTGGATTCTCTTCAGGAGACGTATCGCGACTCATGGAAGAGATGGCTTTAGTTCGACCTACACAGTTTGGTGGTCCACCGACGATTTGGAATAAAATTTATTCTGAGTTCAAAGCGGCTCTATCTTTGGCGACCGCTAATCTGACACCAGATGCTACCGCGGTAGAAAAAGGACATCTTCTAGAACAGTTTTCAAAGCTCATTCCAAGAAGATGTCGATTAATCAGCATTGGAGGTGCCATGGTCAGTTCAGCAGTACTACACTTCATGCGAGAATGCTTCTTACATTGTTTCGTCATTGAAACGTATGGAATTACGGAGTGTGGCAGTGTTACCGTAAACAATGTTCTAGAAAATAAACTCAATTATCGACTGGAATCGGTTCCAGAATTGGGCTACACACTCGACGATAAACCATTCCCAAGAGGAGAATTTTTGGTCAAAACAGAACAAATATTTTCTGGATACATCAATAACACAGACGAAACTCGAGCAACTCTGACTGAAGATGGATTTTTTCGTACTGGTGACATTGTTGAACTTCATACTAGACTGATACGAAAACCTCGTGTACGTGTTATTGATCGAAAGAAAAACTTCTTCAAACTTTCTCAAGGCCAATTTGTTTCACCTGAATTTCTTCAAGGAATTTATAACAAAAGTGTTTTTGTTCATCAAATCTACATTCATGGTGATCTTCTATCAGACAGTGTTGCAGCAGTTGTCGTACCAAATCGCGAATATGCTCAGACGTTTATGGTGAGAAACAATCTAGGAAAACTACATATAAACAAGCCAGATCCAAAATTTTGTGATGCAGTCATGCAAGATTTGCAACTGATCGCGAAACAAGAATCACTCCGTCAGCACGAAACTCCATCACGACTGCTCATCGATTTTGAACCTTTCACACCGGAAAATGGCCTTCTTACTTCGACGATGAAGCCCTGTCGACCAAAACTAAGTGCACATTACGCTGAACGACTCAAAACAACAACACATTCGATTGAACAAAAGTTGAAAACGATTATCGAAACTGCAACAGGACGGTCACTGTTGTTAACTGATAAAAATGAGGATTTTATGGCTATTGGTGGTGATTCATTAGCAGCTGTGCGCTTATCTCGCATGATACAAGATGAACTCGCAGTATCATTACCAGTCAATGTGTTTTTTCAATCCGAGATGAATCTGAAGCGTTTGACAACATTGGTGCAAAATCCATCACAGATTTCATCTTATCCAGAGTCTATCGTACCGCAAATGCTCCATGATTCTGACATCGATCTGAATATTACAGTTGGTAAATGCAAACCAACACATATATTTCCTTCTATGGTTTTCGTCACCGGAACCACAGGATATGTCGGTGGTTTCTTATTAGCAGAAATGCTAAACGTCTATCCTCTCAAATGCAAATTTGTTTGCCTTGTGAGATGCAAACCACTAAGCAACCCAATAGATCGTGTTCGAGATAATATGTTATTTCTTCGCATATGGAAAGATGAGTTTCGAGAACGAATTATTGCATTGCGAGGTGATTTGGCTAAGGATCACTTTGGACTAGACAATGAAATATATGAGTCACTCGCCGCTCAAACAGATATTATCTTTCACTGTGGTGCTACTGTTAATTTTATACTTCCTTACAATAAACTCTATGGCCCAAATGTATGTGGTACTCGTGAGATTATTCGTCTGGCCGCTCATGGTGCCACTTGCATACCTGTACAATACATCTCTACGGTAAGCGTTCTATCTTCTGGTATTATCAAAGAGGTATCGATTGATAAGATCCCTCCGGATGGTTTAACCAGTGGCTATGGACAAAGTAAATGGGTAGCAGAGAAACTCATGTACAAGGCAAGCCGCTCTGGTCTACCAGTAGCTATCTATCGTCTAGGATCAATCAGTAGTAATACAGAGACTGGTGTTTGTAATCGACATGATCTTCATACATTATTAATGGCAGCAATTATGAAAATAGAATGCTATCCGCTATTGGCTATGAACTCCACATTCGATGGTTTACCAGTAGATTTTTGTGCCAAAAGTATTGTTTATCTAAGTCAAAAACAACCTAGTGTTTATGGAAATGTCTATCACGTTGCCAATCCGTATGGTGGTATACCATTCGAAGATATAGTTAAAAGTATGGTGAAATGTGGTGTTGAAACAAGAGGTGTCGCATTCGAGCAATGGCAAAACAAAATGAAAGCAGAAACTATGCGAATTGGCCCGTTTGAGTCCCTGAGCGAGTTCCTGTCAGTCAAACTGTTCAATGAACGACGCGTAGTGTCTTCAGAACAATTTTGCAATGCTGTTTCTCAACTGGACTTTCCATCGTTGAATCAGACATATATTTTTAAATGGTTGTTTTTCATATATCGTAATATTGTTAACTGATGGTGTGTGTGTGTGTATGTGCATGTGCGTCTGGGTTCTTTTCTCTAATAATATATGCAGTTCACAAAATAGATTTTCATTAGTCTAATATTTAAAAATAAAATATCACTTTATCAAAGATATATAAATAAAGAAAACAGTAAAACACACACAAATTGTTAACATTATATCTATATATTTCAATTAATATAAATTAAACAACAAAAAGAAAGGAACGAACAAAAACACAGTAAACAAATATCACATTTATATCATTTCATCAGTATGTATAGTCAACACCTTGACAAACTGAAGGTAAGAATCAAATTAATTATTTCTTACGAACATATATTTA